CACTTATCCAACAGAAACAAAAAAACTTGTTTGGCAGGATATCAACAACTCACCAAGTGATACGATCTATGTCACAACAATGTGTGTATTGTAGATTGAACAACCGATACAACAGACAAAGAACGTAGATGACTAAACAGACAAATTAATGCCTATTTGTACATATGTATATATATATATATGGCTAAATATATATATATATATAGATATATATATATATTGCTAAAGATATACGAACTAACTTAACTATGAACATTTCAACCTCATTTTTCTGCCTCCCAATCTTCCATAAAAAGGCGTTTCCGCGGCATTTCCGGCGTTCGCTTCAGGACCGAAAACTGAGACACGACAACATCGTCAGCAAGGCCTGGAGCGCCGCCTGTTTCTTCGGGATCATCATGAGGATTCAAGCCATGATACGCCTTCAACGATTGGATAAAGGTGGTAAAGCGCGCCCCACCAGACCTGAACAAAAGCATGGATGAAGACTGGTTGTATGCCTATTTTTTTTTTTTTGTGGAGACGACATTTTTGTCTAGTGCCCGATTCGTTACGGATAAAATTCCATGTTTTCCCATATTATATGTTGCCATGTGTTACAGCCGGTGACCACAACCCTACATAAGCACGGCCAAATCCTTGTTGTTTGAGAATCATTGCAGGGCTTTGTTAACATACGTGGCCACCAGTTGGTGAGGTATACCCATTTTGTTTGTCCAGAGATAGGGTGCCCCAAAATCCTGGAAAAACGATGGTGTTTTCAATATTTCCACAGCGAACTGGATTGCTTGGGGGTATCCCTTTTTGACAGATATACCCATTCATCAACCATCTTCCATTGTTATTCCTTCAGTATCACGTTGAATAATGTTGAATTATCATTATCATGATTACTACTATTAACCATTGTTATTATAATTGTTGTCACTATCTATCACAAGGGCGTAGTTATCATCATTGCTATCATTATTACATTTTTTACATTGTTATCATCGTTATTGTTATCAGGACATATTCATCAGTATGGCTATCATCATTATTATTATCATTATCATTGTCATTATTAGCAGTATTACCATTATCATTATTATTATCATTATTGTTATCAGGCCATAGTTATCATCATTGCTATCATTATCAGGCCAGAGTTATCATCATTGCTATCATTAGTCTTATTATCATTACTATCATTACTATCATCATTATTAGGCTATAGATCATCATTGCTACAATGATTAATAGTATCACTATCATTATCATCATTATTGTTGTCACTATTATTATAGTTACATTCGTATCATGATTACCAGTATGACACATGGCTATTTTTAATTGCCATCATATTATTATGGCCACGCGCTGTGTGTTGCCCGGAAGGTTCAAATGGCGTTTAAACATGTTCCCCGCAACCCCCTGGTTCGCCCACACTCAAACAACACATCCAAACAATATGATATACTTATCACCAGAGGATCAATGAAAACACTGGCGACTTTAAGTTTTCATGATTTAGGGTTTTAATTTAGGGCTTAGGTTTTAGGGTTTTAGATTTTAGGGTTTACCGTGTTTGTTGTTTTGGACAGTCAAAAACGTAAACCCTGCGCAGGGATTTGAGCATGTCAAAGGATATGCGGGATTGGCCGCAGGCAAACCGAGGGGTTGCAGCGAACATGTTTAAACATTATCCTTCAACATGCTCAAACACCTGCGCAGGGCCAATGTTTGGAGATTTCCCAGACGACGAACCTTAAACCCTAAAACCCTAAACCATCCTAAGCCCTAAAACCCCAAACCCTAACCCTAAACCCTAAAACCTAGGCTCTGAAAACTTTGAATCCTAAACTGGAAAACACTGCGTATACGTAGTATTTTCTGCAATATCTCCTATCATATATTCGACAGCACGACATTCTCAATGCGAATGTCTGGGCAACACGCTGCGTCTGTGGGTATTATTACTATTTTCATCCCTATTATAATTATTGTCACCCTTATTGTTCTAGTGATGATACATAAATTTAGATTTCCTATAGTTATAGTGATACATGTCATTTACCCTCTGATAATTTAACAGAGCGATTCCCTATAGTTATAACATGTTATAGTGATACATGTCATTTAGATAATTGGGTAATTCTAGATCCATAGCAATGTGGGTAATTCTGGTTGATAATGGTTGATAACTGTTCATAATAAACCATTTAGAACCTTCACATTAACGGCTCATATTATCAACCATAGATGTGATCTTAATATTCACCATAAATATTAGAACCATTGATAATTGTTAATAATCAACCATAGGTTAATAATGGTCAATAATGGTTAATAATGGTCAAGAATGGTCGATAATGGTCAATATAATGGTCAATATTATTGTTAATAATGGTCAATACTGGCCAATAATGGTCAATAACGGTCAAAAATGGTCAATAATGGTCGATAATGGTTAATATTGGTTAATAATGTGATTCAGATCACATTTCCCCAGTGTTCAAAGCTTTCCACTTCTCCCCGTCCCAGGGCAGCCGGATGACATCGCCACGCCGTTGGATGAGCTCTGTGCCACCATGGTGACCCCCACGGATGTCGTTTTTTTTTTTTCAAGAAAGAGAGGTAAAACTGAGTTAATCTAAACGGCTAATAATTCTTAGTTAATCTTAGTTACATCTTAGTTAAATTGTAGTTAACCCATCTTTTTCAACATGTTTTTGTCATTTTAGTTAACAAATTTTTGAAACAAAACATGTGATATGTAGTTTGCTGTTCTCGAGAATTTTTATGATGAAGATGGGTGGTTAATGAATGTGAACTCATCAAATATGGTTTTATGGGATATTTGTTCTTTTGATAATTTTCATGATGAATATGAGCTAACTCATGAAGTTTGGGTTTTAAGCAGCAAACAATTATGCACACCCCAAGTTGTTGATGTAGTGTTCGCCTTCAGAACCTAGGGTTTTGGCGGGATTTCGCCCTGTGCCATGAAAGGTGGCATCAACAAATTCCGGGGTTCCGCGGTGTTTTGCCCAGCTGGGTGTGTCTGAACATAGTCTAGCCCTAGAAATCCATGGTTTTCCAATATTTTCCACATATTTTCCATAAATCGATGGACAGTTTTTGGGTGTCCCCATTTTCAGACACACCCAACTGGGGTTTACCATGGTTGGGTTTACCGTTGACCGTTTACCGGCCGTTTGCAAAGTGGTTTGGCTCGAAACGGCGCAGGTGCCGACTGGGTATTTCTTGAGACCGACTATATCCAATGAATCACAAGTAATTAGATTTAGTAGATAACATTCTTTACATTTATACTTATACAGTCTGGTAGTCTGGTATATTTTTCTATCTATATCTATATCTAATATCTAATATCCAATATCTGATATCTAATATCTAATATCTAATATCTATATCTAAATCTAAATCTATATCTATATCTATATTTATATATGTCTATATGTATATCTAATATCTAATATGTAATATTTAATAGTTAATACCAAATATCTAATATCTAATATCTAAATCTATATCTATATCTATATCTATGTCTACATCTATATCTATATCTATATCTATATCCATCCATCTATTTATCTATATACATATATATATACACATATATATATATATATGTATATATATATATATTATATGTATATATATATATATACATATGTATATATATATATGTATACACACATATATATATAGGGTGATACCAACCATTTTCAGCACTCTTGGGCTTTCAAGTCGAGGTGCGGGTTCGGGGTATCTGACGGGTGTGGCCTCTGGATACTTTTCACATTGGCTTCCGATTCACAGAAGTTCTTCCCGTTTTTTTTTGCTTGATTTCGAGGGTTTGCCATGGTTTTCCTGCTTTAGAGTTGGTGTATGTTGGTAGATGATATTTTTTTTGTATAGTCCAGAATATGGCCTTATATGGTACTAACGTACCTCCATTTTAGGATCCGGAATTCCCATTGAAAAACGTCCACATTGCTTGGTGTCTACATCCCAATGGTTCGGAGATGATCGCACAAAACAACGCTTGGATTCCCAACTTTTCTATGATACAGAGTTATACCCTCTGGCAAACTAACATAACTATGGAAAAATCGACCATTTTTAATGGGTAAATCCACTATTTCGATTGGGCCATTTTCAATAGCTATGTTAGTTTACCAGAGGGTAATACAAAATATTTTTGATGATTGTTATATACACATAGTGTTATAAATAACTTTTTGTATAATCCAACTTTTGATTATATATTATTTCCCAACTTCTGTTCTGTTGGTTATTGTTATTTTTTTTTGCTAGTGGACACTACAGGGTGTTGTCCGTTAAAAGATTTTCCGTGCCCCGTTTCCCCACGTTTTCTCTCCAAAAAATTCGGTGGTTTAAAAATTCAAAAACTCCCATGACAAGGTGGCACAAAATGGGTTTCAAACAAGTCTTCGTCAAACTCGTATCACAGTTATATGTATATATATATATACATACCATCTGGGAATCAAGGCAATTGAACATCCACCATTTATAGATGATTTTCCCATTTGAAGCTTCATTGAGTTCGGGGATTTGATAAAGCCAGCCACGTCTGCCAGAGGGGAAAAAAAACCATTCTATGCCGGTATCATTGTGGTTGGTTGAGACACAATAAGAACAATTTCTGTAGGCTTCCCTCATCACTGGGGATGGCGAGAATTGCTGCTGTCCGAGCGGCTCAAAGGTAGCTTCGAAGAAGCCAACAACGAGCCAAGGTTAGGATTGTTTGTTGCAAGCAGAGATGTTGCTGTCATTTTATTGTTTTTTTTTTTCTTGAACTTTTTCAACCAGATTTAATTGTCAAGGAAAAAACACTGAGTCAACGGTTTTCTTGTCAGGAGCTGAGCATTTTGTGGAAAGTGAGGCAACACCAAAATAGCTGCCATTTTTCAACGGAGCACAATGACATCCTCAGAACCCGCCAGAGATATTGGAAAACGACCCCAGTTTTTTTCGCGCGCCTTGTGGCGGCTCTTTGACTCGTTGTTTCGCCATGTTCTGGAGGCACTGACCCGGCCTACGTTTCTTGAAGAGTTAGTGTAGCAAGACTTGGTGGCATGCATCAGCACAAAGCCGTTAAATCATGATGTTTGACTTCCATCGGTTCTCACGGTAATACCACCCATTGCTGGTCAAGTATCAAGCTGCTTGGTGGTTTTATTCCCATGACTGCTGTCGTTATGAGTTGTTATGTAGAATTTGCACGATTTTTCCATGTTAGTGGCCCCCCAAAACGAATCAGAAGAAAACTAGTCATATGATCAATTTACCACTGAATTTATTCAGATAGGATTGGGATTTTCAAAAACTTGACCCACAGATTGGGAATATCTAATATCCTTGGAAATCATACCTGAACATTTCATAGATTTAAATTGACGTCATACATACATGTCTATGATTGAAACACCCACAGATTTCAATCCTCGACAATGGTTTTTAGGTATTGAGTAGCCAGATCAATGATCAATGGATCTTTTGAACAATCCTTTGAAGATTTCCATTGAATATCTAAAGACTAATCAAAGAGTCTTAGAGTCTTTTTTTGCCATTTGAAATCTTTGAAACCTTTGATCTTTAGACATCTCCATCTCTTCCAGATCTCCATGACTCTGTTCCAGGTCAGCCCAGGCGCAGCAAGCGCCATCGATGATGCCCCCGTTTTTTGAAGCGAAAGCTGGAGATCAGGGTGGGAGGACTAACCAGAAACTGGGGAAAGAACATGTGGAATCTGGGGGTTCTTTTAGGGGGATAAGGGGATTAGAATATATTAGAATATATTAGAATATATTAGAATATATTAGAATATATTAGAATATATTAGAATATATTGAATAATCTTTCTTTTTGGTGGGATATGGGTGATATAAGGGGACTGAACAAACAAAGATGGTGACGTCACCAATAGAAATGATCGTGTAGAATGAGATGTAGTGGGATATACCCTCCAGTAGTCACACATGGCTGGCTGGGAAATGCCTATGGAGGTTTTAATGGGTAATGGGAACCCAAGCAAAGGTGATACCATAAATTCATCCCAGTGGCAGGAATGTGGCTGTGGCTGTGGTTTTTCACCAGAAGCATCACTGGAATCACGCAGGCAGGTTTTTGGACAATGCCATATCGTGCAGGGATCGTTTTCAGAGACTTTCGAGAGCCCAGAAGCCTTTCGAGAAGATGTTCGGATAAATAGATAAATATCTATATCCATATATCCATTGTTGGGATTCCATTGAGTCAACCGGGATCAACGTCCTCAATGGATTGGTTTTAACAAACCCAACGGCCTGTTGATTTTCCCCTGGTTGGACCCCAGACCGGGCTTTGATCCACCTCCTGGAAAGCCGAGGTTGTCCTTAGAAAGCCTCTTGACAGCAATGCAAGGGACCCTTGCTGTACCAAAAGACTTGTTTTTTTTGGGTCATTTTCCTTAAATCAGCATGAATACTATTTCTTTGGATGAGTTCCTATGGTATATCTATGGTTAATGGGATTTATCAACTATTTAAATCTATTTAGTGTGTTGTTTTTTGGCCACCTTTTTTAGAATTTTGAACCACCTCTAGATGGACATCTCAGTCATCCCCTTCCCGTTCTGACCTCGCATGAGGTTTTTTGGCCGATCCAACTCCAGTTCCTTCCCCACAAGGTGGCCATGTGACCATGGTTTCGCGGAAGCTGTGTAAAACCTGACAAACATCGCCTGATTCTCGATGCTTGGACTTCCTTTTTTTAATACTTTTGTCTACATCTCAAAATCGTTTCAACATCGGCAGACGTGGATTGTTCCCATGAGCTTTTCACTTAAAACCCCCATGGTTTTTGGAGGATTCCGGAGTCCAATGGTAAAAAACCAACGGCAGGGATTGCCGCAGGCGCTGTTCCCTTCACCACTGGCAATGTGGAGATGTGGCCCCCGCCCAACTGTGAGGCACTTTTGAAGCACCTGCGGCTGGGTGTAGGTGAATATGTTCAGGATGGGAAGCTTACATTTAATGGTTAATGATGGTTAATGATGGTTAATGATGGTTAATATGAAATACTAACATAGCCATGGGATTAGTAATGGGATTAATAATGATACCCTCTGGTAATTTGTTACGTAGCTATTGAAAATGGCCCCATAGAAATAGTGGATTTTCCCATTAAAAATGGTGGATCTTTCCATAGCTATGTAAACGTTTACCAGAGGGTAATTGATCTTAATCGTTGCGAATTTTGGGCAAAGATGGAATTTGAGGAAGCATCTCACAGAGACGATTTGAAGCACCAGCCCTAATGGAATGATGGAGGTTTCCTAAAATTCCCAAAACATCCCATGGGTTCCATGGGTTTAATGCGAAATATCGTCAATTTTAAAGATGATTTGAGGTATATCCGATTTTAGGAAACCTGCACATATAGTCAGAGGTTTTATCAGCAATTCGTTTTTTGCCACGAATTAGCTTTCTGAAGAATGGAACACATCCAAACAATAGACCTGATTATTTAAACTTGTGGTTATCATGTTGGTTAATTTACAGTAAATATTGCTGTGTCTCTATGTCAATACGATACAATATAGTCTAAATATAAATACATAGATATGTATTTGTTGCTCAGTTGTAACTTAGTCATACCCCTATGATCCACCCATTTGGAACCTGGCTTGGGAACATCTTGTAATGATCTTGGGGGAATACTTAAGATGAGGAGGAACTAATTGAACTAACGATTTGAATCCTAACTTTGAGGTTGAACATGAATCCAGCTATGATAATTATGATACATGACAGTGGGGGGGAAAAATTGGAGGCGCTCACTGCTGTAGCCCAGAAGGATAATCCCAGTGACCGGTGACTGTTTTATCTCCCCTAAGGCCTCGATATTTCAATGGCTGCCACCCATTGAAAAACATATGAAAATAGCCTAAAAAGGATGCCAAATTTGGCTCAAATTCATCACATTTTTCTACTCAAATCAACAACTTCGGATTTTTGAACAATGGATAAAATACCCATTTTTTTCAATGGATAAAATACCTATGAAATTCCAGTTTTTTGTGCACTCCGGTAGGGATCAACCTTTGAGTGCCTGAAAAATCACACACGGTTATGACTACGATACATCGATGGTTACCCGGCAACTCCAGGACGTCTTGCCACCGGTGGGTGGGCAACTCAGCGTGCCTCGTAACTGGGCGACCCGAACGTCGGAAGGTGTGAGTTTCACCATGGGCGGAATGGAGGGAAAAACAGCAGTTGGGTGATTTTTGTTTGGTGAAAACTGTTCGTATTTTTTGACAATGTTGGGTCAAGAGTTGCGAACAAAAACAGCAGTTGGGGGTACCCTGAGAAACATTGAGAGGGATCCATGAGATGATGCTTTGCCAAGAGCGGACCGTGCAGTTTGGGAGATCCAAAAGGCCCACAGTTGCTAACGGTGAAATGCTAATTCCCAAGGATCTTCCCTGTTTTGGGATCCACAAGATGTAGTTTCCAGGGTGCATAACTCCCCTTGTTAGCCTTGGAAGTTCTTAGATACTATCCTTCTTTGCCAGTAGTTCTGTCCAAAAAGCCGCTCGAAAAGAGAAAATCATCTGAATTGGGGCGGTCCAAAGATAGTAACCAAAAATCGCAAATATGAAGAACACATCTTTACATGCTGATAATTAAGAGGGATCTGGATGACCCTGACGGTCTGTCAGTTGGGTGCCCTCTAGGCCATGATATGGCCATGCCGTGCTGGGCCATGCCGGCCATGCCAGCGGACATGCCACCTATGGGGATGCCGGCCATGCCAGCGGGCATGCCACCTACGGGGATGCCGGCCATGCCAGCGGGCATGCCACCTACGGGGATGCCGGCCATGCCGGCTATGCCACTCTCTGGTGCCTCGAGAGTTGGGTTGGTCGAAAAACATGGCATCTCAAAATTCGATGGTTTACCCCCTGGTAAACATTCAAAAAACTATGGAAAATCATCATTTTTAATGGGTAAATCAACTATAAATGACGATTTTCAGTAGCTATGTTAGTTTACCAGAGGGTATCTATCCAGTGGTGAACGGAGGGAGCGGTGCCAGCTTTTTGCAGCGACGAATTTACACGTATGAACAGGCGAGACATACAATTTTTTGATATTTTTGGGGCTACCCGATTTTTGAAGCAAAGAAACTGCAGCAAATTTTGACACAAAAACGGGTAACCAACAAGCATCGTTATAATGGGGACATGATCTGGGGATCTGGATCAATTACCCCCGCTTCCCTAGGCTTCCAAGATTCTAGTACTTATCCGCAGATGACGAAGAGCTTCAATGTAGACCATCTGCTGATGTGGGTATGGGTCAATACCTATTAATACCATTTTAGTGGGATGAACATCCATAAATCCCAGCTATTTTGGGGTTCACTAGGGGTACATGGTTTTGACACATCCCCATGTTTGTTCGCAGAGCTGTTGTTTTTTGACTGGAACCCCCATGATGCCCAGATGCTTCTGACTTAGGATGTCCCAGTTCCAACAATTATAGACACATCCGGTGTGCAAGGTATGGGACACTTTTCGTAGGAAAATGCTGCTGTTTGATTGATCTGCGCCCAAGAAATGTCAAGAGGGTTGAAACTAGCCTTAGCTATTATATTCCAATTATATTCCCATTAAATCATTAAAGCACGAAATTCATTGGTTAAACCACCATGTTTGATAGACAAAGAACAGCAGTTTTCACCATTCTTCATGTGTAGAAACCGCGAGTTGCCTTGGTGCAACCACCATTGATGGCGAGTTACCACGACAGCTGCTGGTCACATCCCAGGTGGTGTGGAGCACTTCGCAGTGGCCAGCTGGGAGCCCTGAGAAAACGGGTGATTTCAAGGATGTTTGATGGGAAAATGATGATGAAGACGATGAAGATGATGAATATGATTAATATGATGAATATGACAAACATGATGAATATGATGAAGATGATGAATACGATGAACATGATAAAGAAGATGAAGATGATGAGAATGACGAAGATGATGAAGATGATGAATATGAGGATGATGACGAATATGATGAAGATGACAAATATGATGAAGATGAGGATGACGATGAATATGATGAATATGATGACAAATATGATGAATATGATGAAGATGATAACGATGATGAATATGATGAAGATGATAACGATGATGAAGATGATGAAGATGATGAAGACGATGAAGATGATGAATATGATGAACATGATAAAGAAGATGAAGATGATGATAATGACGAAGATGATGAATATGATGAAGATGAGGATGATGACGAATATGATGAATATGACAAATATGATGAAGATGATGATGATGATGATGATGATGAATATGATGAATATGATGAATATGAGGACAAATATGATGAATATGATGAACATGATAAAGATGATGAAGATGATGAAGATGACGAAGATGACGAAGATGATGAGGATGACGAAGATGATGAAGATGACGACAACGATGAATATGACAAATATGACGAATATGATGAATATGATGACGTTTATGATGAAAATGATAAATATGATGACGAAAATGAAAAAGATGATGAACATGATGAATACGATGAAGATGATGACAATGACAAAGATGATGCAGATGATGAAGATAAGGCTGATGTCGACTATGATGAAGATGACGAAGATGATGAATATGATGAAGATGATGATGATCATGATGATGATGATGATGACGAATATGATGGAGATGATGAATATGATGACAATGACGAAGATGATGAAGATGATGAAGATGAGGCTGTTGACGAATATGATGAAGATTAAGAAGATGATGCAGATGAGGATGATGATGAATATGATGAATATGATGACAACTATGATGAATATGATGAAGATGAGAATGATGACAAATATGATGAGAATCAAGATGATGAGTATGATGACGATGATGAATATGATGAAGATGAGGATGATGATGAATATGATGAATATGATGACAAATATGATGAATATGATGACAACTATGATGAATATGATGACACTGATGAAGATGATGAACATGATGAAGATGACGAACATGATGAACATGACGAATATGATGAAGATGACGAAGATGATGAAGATGACGAAGATGATGAAGATGAGGATGATGATGAATATGATGAATATGATGACAACTATGATGAATATGATGACAATGATGAAGATGATGAACATGAAGAAGATGACGAACATGATGAACATGACGAATATGATGAATATGACGAAGATGATGAAGATGATGAAGACGATGAAGATGATGAATATGATGAACATGATAAAGAAGATGAAGATGATGAGAATGACGAAGACGATGAAAATGATGAAGATGAGGGTGATGACGAATATGATGAAGATGACAAATATGATGAAGATGAGGATGATGATGAATATGATGAATATGATGACAAATATGATGAACATGATCAACATGACGAATATGATGAAGATGACGAAGATGATGAAGATGACGAAGATGATGAATATGAGGATGATGACGATGATCAAGATGGCACATACATGGTCAAATATCAGGAAGGGGATTAGAAAAAGCGTCCGGAGGTTTCGAATCTTGGTTGACAACTGATCAGAGGTCTCCTGGAAACTGGGAGGCCATCTCGATCACCCGGTTTCACCGAAAAGATGTCGATTTCTGCTATCATGAAATATGAATCTGATTTTTGAGTGGTTTGAAATACATGACTTTCCATCTAACAGCATAGACCTAAATATTATCCTATACATATATATACATATATATATATATGTGTTATATAGTGTCACTAGTGTATGTTCTATGCATATAGCACTACATCATCAACGATTCTATTGGATCGGTTGGACAGGTCAGCCAGCTGCCATGGCTTTTGCCAGCACAGCGGCAAGCAACACTGTGGTCACAGGCGCATGGGGAGAACCGGAGATGAAACGATGATGAACTGAGAGTACGATCCTGGTTGCCCGAGATGATACTACTCAATGTTTTGGGGATTATCATCCCATCCATGAACTCGGAATTCCTTCAAAGCAGTTTTGAAAAGGGGCAGTATAAGGGGACGACACTCGCTTTTGAACACTACTCAACTGATTTTGAGAAGTACTTGGTTGACGAGAAATGGTTGACGTTTGATGACGTTTGATGACGTTTGGCATATTTTTTTGGTAGTTTTTGTTGCTTTTTTTAGCCAGATGAACTATGAAGAATATAATGGAGAGAGAAGCCTACAAAGATGTGGGTTTTAAAGGACAAAACTAGGGTTTGCCGTGCTTTAACTGTCAGAAATAGGATTTCGATTAGCACAATTGAGGTTTTAAGCATCAAACAATAGGTAAATAGGTATTTTGAACCAGCAAAACTGTGGGTTTTCAAATAATTGTGACATCAAAAGTAGGACAATGTCAGGATCTGAAAGCGGGGCGGTCTAGAGATGCCCAGCAGAGACAATGTTAGATGACCCGTTTAAAGAGCTGAGGTGTTTCCCATATAGGTCACATGACCGGTTCGTGGTTTCACATATTTCAAATCTGTTCGAAAATCACTACGAAATTGAGGCTCAAACCACGAAATATTTGCAATGCAACCACCAGGAGTGATAAAACCGTGCTGCACTAGTGGCTGGTGATTTCACTCAGAAGCTTAATTTTCAGCTATGTTTGGGACGATGACCCTACACAACTTGTAACTTTGGGATCGGTTGAAACCAGCAATCAGATGAGGGCATGGGCAGCTCCGGGGTCAACCCCCCTGGTTCACATCCCCAAAACTTTGCCCAAATGGTTTTGCCCAAAAAAAGGCAACCCCAAATTTGGATGCTTTTAATCATTTTTTCATATATTTTTTCATATTTCCTGGGAATTGCTAGAACTACTGGGTTACGACCCCATTTTCCGAAGCAAAGTTGATGATTTGGCTGCGAGGTGCATCGATTCCTGGTGTTGCCAGCACTCTATCCAGCAGTACCATGGTGGCTGCTGGCAACACAGGACGGATTGACTTACAAACCTCACAACAGGGAATCTAGAGGGAATTTGGTATTTTCTTTGATGCCCTTCAGAAAGCCAACCTTTGCATGAGAAGCCTACCACAAAAAACATCAAGAGTTGCATGTGATTGGCTCCAAAGTTATGAACATTTGGGGTACCAAAAGCCCAAACCCAATATATACCATAAATACTCGGTATTTCGTAATTCACTGTACCATACTCGGTTGACTAGGTCACTCTCCCTGACATCCTAGTGCGATGGCAGGCACCAATGTCATTGCATGGATGGATACAGGCACGGCTTTCGCCGTGGGTTTTCATCCTGGATCTTACAGACTCATCAAGATTCCGGTGATCAAAATCTCGCTCGGAAGGGAAGAAAACCATGGCGACACCTTGGAAGCTGCGAGGGGAATCTGAGATCGGTATCTGATGTGAGAAACACCGGTCATCATGTGGCTTAGGCTGGATTTTATTGAGCATATCTTAGCCATTTAGATCCATTTAGTTGGAGGATTGGAGGATTGTTCTATCTAAATGTCGTTCGCTGGAAGTGAGTCCGCCGAAGGTTCCAAGCCGACTTCAACAGGCCCTTTGTTTGTTGTGCGACCGCTGCGGGTTATATGGGGCCTCCAGTAAACATACCAAAAGCGACAAGGAAAGCCAGTGACTCATATGGTTTTCCCCCTGGAAATGATCATGGTGAATTTTCCATCTGTCAGTGGAGAGCGATGGTGGTTAATGGTAGTTAAGGGAACCGGCCCGGTGATGGGTACATCGGTGACATGGGCATGACACATTGAAAAATCATGGCTTGTTCGCTAGCGTATGGCTGCCATCATACTCCATTTTATTCCCATGACATCCGAAAATTCCTTGTTGTTCTCCTTTGTTATTCATGAGGCAGACCCAACTTGCCAGGGATCTAAGACTTAAGATTGGCCATGACATCGAATTAACATTTCGAATTGTTATTCTTGGTTCTGTCGCCCCCCCTTGTGGCAATCTAACCTGGTGCAGGAAATGTGTCCTATTGAGACCTGATTATTTGTCAGTTTTTGTTGGCCAAAAAAACTGGAGGGTCCCCCAAATCTATATGAGGGTTTCCGAAAATGGGGGTACCCCTAGTCATCATCCATTTTATTTTCGGATTTCCCATGAAATAAACCATCCAGCTATTGGGGTAGCCCCATGGCTTTGGAAACCCCCATACACGGCTTTGTTTTGATTCAGAACGGCACCTGTCCATCCTCAAATCTGTTTGACTGAAGAAATGGTTGACTAAGCCCATCCCCGTTCATATTAAACACCCTTATTCTATGGTCGCAAACATGTGGTTTCATCCCCTACATCCACCATGGTTTCTGTGTGTGTGTAAGATTATAGATAGGGGGTTGGGATTCATGACTACTACTATTCTTTCTTATTGTTGCTATTTCCATTATCCTAGAAATATGATTGCTATTAAATAGCGATCCGCTAAACTTAAACTATTGGTACTACTACATATTAGTATGACTATTATCCTAGAACTATTTAATTACTATTTACTATTCTATTTATATATTACTAGATTATTACTACTGTTAATATGAACGGGAGAAGGGATTCCTCGAGCTCCCAAGATGACGACTCTGGAGGCCGCCGTTGCTCCAGTTACATGCCCAACCTGCCTCCAACGGTCGCTTGGTACGAGATGGGGATGCCATGCTTCGTTGATGAAAACTTGGGTAAGTTACCTAGTTCTTGGGGGATGGTTACAGAATATGAATATAAATATATATATATGTACATATATATATGTGTACATATAGATAGATATATATATATATTTATATATACATATATATATATATCCAATCCATAGATGTCTGGATTCCTACTATGGGATGGATGACCATACCACAGCCATGCCATGTTTTGACACTGGCACATGTGACAGATGATTGGTTGGTGCTACTCCATTTACTTCAATGTACTGTACATGTTGGATTCAGATGATGTCTTTCTGCAAGCTTCCTTTCGTCGGATTGGAAGAACATTTTGAGTTGCAGCAGCATATAATATGTATATATATATACATATATATATATGAACATGTATCTTTGTATGCACCTATATAGCTGCTTCTTAGGTAAAAACACATGTGTTTTATATGTCAATGTGTAGATGGACAACAGGCAAGTCGCAAAAATGGCGGGGACCACTGGCTGTCCCTCCATTTCCCTGCAGCTTTCCAAGTTCCATTGAAAAGTGACGTCATGCCACATGATTTCAGCCTCAGCCATGCCCGAAAGTTAGGCGTGTTGCACTGCCCGACCACAGCAACAGGTGGCAACCCGTTGTAGCTTCGACTTATTCTGAACCACTCTTTCACCTGAGAAAAATGGGTTCTAACCCCAGTGAACCATTATTTCGCCCGGAAAAAAGTTAAAAAATCATTACTTGGCTACTTTGTCCCTTTGATTTCGGTTCCCAAAGTGCCATGGCGCCCAAACGCGTGCTCCGTCGCCCAAGCGCCAAAGCGAAAGCGCGGCCAGCCGCGGGCAAAGCGAGAGCCAGACCCAAAGCGCGGCCAAAGTCTGCCGCGGCACGGAGTGAGAGGTGCTCCTCAGTCAACCTTCGGGGGAAATCCATCATTTCATCCAAATTTACTATCCCCCAAGTTTTTTTTTTTTGGAACCTGCCATGGACAGGGGTTGGGATTGATGTTGCCTTTTCACGGGATTTTGAACATCACCTTTTGAATAATTTGTTAAAGATGATACAATTTTACATCATATGATCTCCCCAATATCTGGGTGAGGTGTTTGTGGACATTTACGACATTTCATTTACCGAAGCCTGAGCTTGGACCGGCACTTCTGGTGATATTTTCTGGACATGTTTTTGGGGATAGCAAGATCAGAGTGTTTTTGGGTTTTCCACCTTGGTGATACCCCAAGACTTGGTCACAAGCAGTTTGGCCGTGGCTCAAGCTGCCAGCCGCTAGCTGCCACGTCGCATTACCCCTGCTTACCCCTGGGGCCTCAAGCGGAGGTATCCCCCATTTTCAGAGAGACCCAAATATCACATCAGATTGATTTGGTCTATCCCATTCTTCCCCTTGATGGTTATGATTATATCACCATGGTGGTTAGTTCTCAGTTCTCCTTAAAATAATTGTACCCTCGGTAATCAAACATAGAAATTGGAATTCCTCCACTGACAGTTGATTTTGCCCAGCTATAAACCTCCACTTACAGAGGATTTTTCAGCTAGCCACGTTTGATTACCAGAGGGTATCTCCAACTATATCCAACTACATATATTCCATATCATTCCATTATATCCCACCATTTCGCTTGGTGAAATCACCAATTATGTCCACATTAATATCCCATTTATCCATTGTATCCCACCATCATATCAATAGCCATTTCAGGATCCTAAATTGGAGGTACCTACCATATACAAGGCCTATGTAAGGCCTATGTAAGGGAATATCCCCACAAAATATGGCCTTATATGGTACAGTACCTCCAATTTAGGATCCTGGAATTCCCATTGATCATATCTCCTTAATTACCCATGGTTAATGCATCCCATGGTCTGGGAGGCCACATCGACGCCCGGGCAACGGCTGGTACTCGCGCTGGATTCCCAACTGGCCCTGGGGACGCAGCTTGCCCGGGGAATCGCTGGGAATGGCGGGCCATGGCAGTTTTGCCTCCGGTTCTGCAGGATCAAATCCAAGATGTTTGGGAAAAATGGGGGTTCCTTTTGCAATTTACCAGATGGCCCTGGGGCTAAAACATCAAAGATTTGGGGATTCGTTGTTTGTTTTTCGTGACAACTTCACCGCACATGCGTGAAGAAGGTGCCTGGAAATTCGATCAATTCTAACTGGATAAACCATGATGAAATCAATCGGGGTTTTGATCACCATTCCATGAGGATACAATAAATCAGAGCTTATCATGACCTCACCAGCATAGCAAGAGATGGGAACATAAGTGGTACCCTCTGGTAAACTAACATAGCTATTGAAAATGGCCATTTATAGTGGATTTACCCATTCAAAATGGTGATTTTCAATAGTTATGTGAAATTACCAGAGGGTAAATGCATGATATGGGTTTATCTAGACATGGGGTATCCTCGCTGTAGGTGAAATGGATCCTGTACCGTTTGGGAGTAAGGGACGATCTACAGGACACCATGTTCCAGAGACACAAAAAATTCATGGCTTCGACCAGGAAGCATTCCAGTGAATAATACCTGGCTGTTTTAACATTAGTATCAATGGATTGGTGTCGGGAAAATCTGAACACCGGAATCCATGGGTTTTTCTGTGTTTTTACATGTTAGAACACCACCATTAATACCGGGGTTTCCGGCGTTTCCGGTGAAGATTTCCCCACCAATCCAATGTTTGTGGAGATCATCCCCGGTTGGTCTTCGGTGCGCCTGATGAATCCATTTTCCCCGAGACGCATCGCCGAAAGCCATGGGTTTGAGTAGGACTGGGAGTTGCACCTGGGACGGGGATAGGGTGCATATGATTGTACCAAACCCCGGGTTGGTTCAAAAATTGAGAGGCACCGCATGGCACCCTGTGTGGCCTGGCCTTGGGGCAAGAGCTACTGTAGTTCGCCAGGGTCTATACATGTCTATACCTGGTTGGTGGCTTGGAAGATTTTTTATTTTCCATTTCATATAAAGGATGCCATCCTTCCCATTGACGAACTCCATCATTTTTCAAGATGGTCTTTGCACCGCCAACCAGCTATCAATTTGGGGTTGACATTGCGGTGCCATATTTTCTCCAACTTTCATGACTCATATTCAATGTGGCCAAGATTCTGGAGGACGTGAGACCACCAGAATCACCAGACTGGTTGTTTCAACCCTAAGTTGTTTGAAATCTCAGAGGGAAATGGAGGACCTGAACACCAGGGTGATTTCCCGAATTTTCGTATGACATGGAGTAGTAAGGCACAAATAACAACACTTTGATATAATGGACAAAAAATATAGTAATTCCTTACCGATGACTCATGGGTATGGGCTCAATTTTTTAGACCCATCACAGATGTTGTCCATTTTTTTGCAATGTTAACAATCCAGAAAAGAATGTGGATTTATCATCAACCACCCCAAGTATTTTCACTGCTCGTATCAACCATCCCAATTATCTAACACTCACTGATCATCAACAAGCTCATTCTTCATCTTGACCCATCTGGGACACGTCTGAACATAGAGGAGCCCCAAATTTGATAGTTACCCTCTGGTAAACAAGCTAACATAGCTATTGAACATGGCCATATAAATAGTTGATTTACCCATTAAAACATGGTGGATCTTTCCATAAGTTACCAGAGGGTAATGATGTCGCTTTCACCAACAGCCATTGCCACGAATGGGTCAAGTGTCAACCAAGAGTTTCGAAGACACCGAGCGACTGCAAGGTGGTGTTTTTTCCCCGAGTTCGAAGTTTACAAAGCCCATGAAGTAGTTGGAGATATTTACCAATAAACCATAGTTAATTCATGTTGATTCACCTAGTGATGTTCACCAACTTCGCCATTTTTTCGGGCACAACTGGCTGAGGCATGGCCTTCTTACCCCAACATCTGCGTTTGCTGTCGCCGCTGCCGTCCGCGTCGCCCTGTGCAGCCAGTGTCGGGGCGGATGGACTGCGGCGAGCCATGAGCTATGCAGGTGGAACATGGCTGTCGATTGGGGTTTGAGCAAACGACGGTAGCGAAGTTAGGGATTGAATGGTGAAATAGTGGTGATATAATGATGGCTGTTTGGTGGTTTGGAACATTTTTGATTTTTCGATGTATTGGGAACAATAATCCCAACTGACTAATATTTTTAAGATTTTTTAAGAGGGATTGAAACCACCAACCAGATGGTATAGTGATATGTTGTAGTGCTTATATATATACACAACAAATTCTGACGATTTTTCACGAGAATAGTGGTTAGATATTGGTGATATAGTGGTGCTATGATGGGATATAAAATAATGGTACCCTCTGGGAACTCAACAGTTTGCGAACTGGTATAGATGGCCTATTTAATCCGATGACTTTCCTATTCAAAATGATGTTTTGAAAACAACGCGATGTTTTACCAGAGGGTAAGCCTGCCAAAAGATCGGGACACTGCCGAATTTGGAAGCTGCAGCAAGCTCTCGGGAGAGCCCTTCCGTGGAGACCTGGATTTGCTGAATTGGAATCATCCCCAGCCGTATGATAACAGCTATTTTCAGGTCAGTGTCTATGATTCAACCAGATTTATACTTTTTTTTTGGACCTCAAGTTCACAAACCGGGGCTTATGGTTTATGAATCTGGGGTTAACACATTCAGCATACGATCCTTGCAAGGGGATTATAGCGTATGACTGTCACCAACGAGACCAGTCGAATCATTTTGCGAGGCTTGAACTTTGAAGATCGCCGCATTTCCACTGAGGACAGGGGAAGCCCAAGGGCCGAAGGTTTTTTGTCAACCCAAGAAGCATGTGTCCCATATCAACCACTTGGCCACCTTTTAGCCAGCTTTTTAAGGGGATGAACATTCACCAGCTAAAAGGGTAGTGATGTTTTTTTTGAACCATACTCCAGATACTTTGTAGGAATCGTGTCCAAATTTCGGTTTGGGTGTGTCTGAAAATTGAGAATAGCCCCGCCAACTAACAGATTTAATGGGCACATGATGATTGATCACTGAATTCTGAGATCGGGCCGTTTTTCAAGCCGCTAAGCCATTTACAACACATCACAGACATAGGAGTTCGATGAGCTTCGGCGGCTGAACAACCTCTGCTGCGACCTTCCCGTTTCTGTGGATAGTGGTGGCACGGGGATGTTCTAGGGTTCTGGGTGGTGATCTGGGTGGTGGTTTCAAACATGAACTTTACCCGGCCTGGTAATTTGTTACATAGCGAACTGGAAAGATCCACCATGCTATCAATGGGAAAATTCACTATTTCTATGGTGATTTTCAATAGCTATGTAACAAATTACCAGAGGGTAGTTTCCATATCAGATATGGGATGTGATCCTTCCCATTGACGAACTCATATTTTTCAAGATGGTTGAAACCACCGACCAGTGATCTTTTCACCATTGGGGATGCCTTCAACAGCTTGAACGGATGACCTGCTGTACAGGGAGAATCAACACCAACATGGGGACAACATCCAAGGATATCCAAGGGATATCAACAGCAACATGGATATAGTATGATATAGTAATGTGAATACACAGATGTAGCCAAGCGAAATTGGGACACAGCTGCTTTTCGACAGAAAGTTGCATCAGTTGCATCAGTTGTTCCCCGTTGCATTGAAGCTTGAAATGTGGCGGAGCTGGATTTGCCCCTGCAGTGCATTTAGGAGATTGGAAATTGTCATGGCTGTGTTTCCTCGGCATCTAGGAATGTTCGACTCGTTCCCGTGCCTTTTGATAATGACCTTGAACGCCCAAGTCTATAGGGCTGAACATCCCTTTTTAATTTCCGCTAGTTCCCATGGACTCTGAAAGCCCTTGGGTTCCAGAGGGGCCCTGGGGGACACCAGCGACACGTCGTGTTGATCCTCAGGTCCTGTTGGTTGGCGCGCCAGAGCACCCGCTGCAACCTCTATGGCGAGTGAATACCATTGCCAGATACGTGCCTTGGGTCTGCCTTCGAGTGATCCCCACCAACTGACATATTCATACATATTCGAGGTTTCCTGAAATAGGGGTACCCCTAAGTCATCCATTTTTATAGGATTTTCCATTACAAACCATCTAGTCAGCTATTGGGGTATCCCATTTATGAAAACCCCCATATAGTCCGACATTTTATCTGATATATTCTGACAATCTATCGGACATACGTCATATCTCCGGACATGTTTCATCTGTTCTGAGTATGAGCTTGGCCAAGTGGGCAACTTTGGAGGACGAGCAAATCGATCAACTCCAGAGACCCTCAAAAAAGTTAAAAAACGGCACTGAAGGTGATGGTTTCCTGTTCCAAAGCCGGCAGTGTTGGCAAATCCACCATCCAGCGTTTTGTTGGAATCCTCTTTTTAGATGCAACATGATGCAACATTAGTGGAGTAATATCTGCGATTAAAAAAAAGTGATCTTCTGGGAGAGTGATAAATATCTGTATCATATAGTAACATCAGTAATAGACCACCATTTTGCCGCCTTTTTGCGGCGGATTCTTCCGGGGTTTCCCACGGGTTTCCTCTGTCATGATTCACTGAGGTGGGAAAGGTGTCGCACGCCATGTGCAACTTGTACCCTGAAGATCCGGCCGCCTGGCGCTGGAAAACACCTGGTTTTTGCCAAAAAAAGCCGCAGAGTCTGGGCATTTTTAGAAGAAAAACCATGAAACATTTCTGGGGTATCCAATTTTGACTCAGCCATTTCAGATGGGTTTTGCATGGTTTCATAAGGATTTGACTGGGGTTGATTTGGCTCGTAGTTTCCGTGTTTTTGTTGTCATTTCTTACTCTTCGATCGCTGAACTACATGGATAACATATGGGAAGCCTATCCGGAGGAGCCTCGTTTTGGGATGGTACACTCACCAAGCAAATGGGTTGTTTAATCAACCAACATATTCTGAATCTGTACACATGGGAAACCATACACCAGATATGGATGGATAGTCACCCCAATCTTTTGCTGACCATTTCTGTGACCCCAAAACGAAGAGATCACCGAGCCAGGTTGCTGGGGTGGATTGTTAGTTGTTTGGAGAACTGATGAATGTGGATTTTGTGGGTGCAATTGGGTCTTATCCAGCAAATGTGCCGCGCTGAAAATCTATGCTGTCCCCAATTTGTTGGTGCTTAAGGTTCCTGACATCCCGCTCCCAATTCTTGGTGCTCATTTTTCCCGTTTTCCCCCAGTTTCATTGCTGCTGGGAATCCTATCTTCAAGTTTTCATGCTACTTCCAAGTGAGGAATCGTGTTCAGAACCTTCAGAACCCCTGGCTGATCAAAAAGGAAGCTAGCTGGTTGGTGGTTTGGAACATAACTTTTATTTTTCCATTCAGTTGGGAATGTCATCATCCCAACTGACTTTCATATTTTTCAGAGGGGTTCAAACCACCAACCAGCTAGGATCTGATGGGAGAAGATTTTTGGGGCTTTTTGAACGCTGAAAAAAATCGATCCCGCGAGGTGAAATCTGGCATGGTGGATGCAGCCGCTGAGCAAAAATCAGCCAAAAAATAAATTGAGATTTTAGTTGTTCTTTACCCCGTGAAAGGGGACAGTCTATGAAACCATCCATTTGTTGGGATTGATAACTTTGACCCATACATTCTGGATATCCTGAAATAAAGCACTTTTGGGATGTTTACCCCTACTAACCCCTTACTAACCATCATTCCAGTGAGATTTAAATTTATCCAGATAATCTCCATTGTATTCCACTATATCCCCATCATAGCACCATTTATGTTGATGAAATCGCCATACTTTGGTGTCAAATCACCATGAATTTGTTGGTTGAATCCACATCTTTGGTGGTTACATTCATTTAAAAGGGGGAAAGTGCGGCTTTTATAGCACAGGATTTTGGGGTTTTCATTCATGGGCCCTTTTTTTCCCAAGCCTCAAATCAGATGGTTAGGGCAAACCTTCACTGATTTGTTTCTTCATTGCTACCCATGTTTGACCGATGTCACCCGATGGGATGCTGGTCAGTCGCACCGAGTTTCTGGGAAGGCTTTCCAAAAATGCTAAGGATGATTATCAAGACATTCAGAGGGATTAAATGATTTACATACCCATTGTGCTTGTTACCATGAATTGGAGGGTACCTGACCGAAAAATGAGTCGACCAGATGATGGGGATGATCCCCACCGAGCAGTGCTAGTACCACGAACATTCCCATGACAGTATATCCCAAGTATATCACCTTTGTGGCCGGTGAATATCCCATGATTTCCCACGAATTTGGAGATATAGCACCGAATGAAAAGATGCAGACATGTCAACTCCGAATGAAATGTTGTGTTCATTTACTTTTTGGCATATCTTTTTGGAGGTTAATGGTCTAGAGACATCTGGAGACTATATCCCATTCCATCCCATCCCATCCCGTTATATACCACCACAATCCACCGAGGTGATGGATGACTTGACAGAAATGTTGACCGCCGATGCCGAAACTGGCATGAAATTGGTGGAACCTCGACGTCGAAGTTCAGTTCCTGGGTGTGTCTTGGGAAGTTCCTGGGTGTTCGACTGGAACATGACTGGAACATTGGTTTAGGTTAATGATGGTTAATGATGGTTAATGATGGTGACTAATCACTGGTTGAAGTTCCAGGGTGTGTCTTGGGAAGTTCCTGGGTGTTCGACTGGAACATGACTGGAACATTGGTTTAGGTTAATGATGGTTAATGATGGTTAATGATGGTTAATCACTGGTTGGTGCTGACTGGAACCATGGAATTTTATTTTCCATTTCCATATATATGGGATGTCATCCGAAACTGACGAACTCACTCCATGGATTTTGGCCAGTGGATTTTCCAGACATCAGCAGATGAGCCGGCCTGGTAAACGTTGCCAAAAAACGAACTGGAAAGATCCACCATTTTTTAATGGGAAAATCAACTATTTCTATGGCTTTTAATGGGAAAATCAACTATAAATGGCCATTTTCAATAGCTAACTGTAACAAATTACCAGAGGGTAAAAGAACAATCGAATCCTTTTTGGAGTTAGATCCGAACTTTTTTCGGTCGGTGGGATTCGTATCATTTGGGAACGCCTCAGAAAAGACTGATTCCTGGACTCCACTCTGAAACGACTTGTCCATAGTGGTGGTTATTTTTTTTGGCTCCTGAAACCTCAAAAAATATATATAATATAGCCAGATCGATTTTTGAGTATGTTATTCATGTATTTCCCTGAATTTTGTCCCCATTTTTTGTTGGCTGCAGTCCATTCTATAACATGGGACATGGCCTCCAGCAACTGATTGGTACAGACTGTCCTCAGTCGATGATGGCTAAATGATGACACCTCTTAGACATTTCTAACTTTCCATCATATACATTCATATACAATATACAGTAAATTGCCATCAGACATCATCCGACATAGAACTATCATCATGACGTACCCTCTGGTTATTTAACAGTGTGCCATGGTATAGATGGCCCATAGAAATAGATGATTTTCCCAGCGAACTAAACCTCCATTTATGGTTGGGATTTTCCATGGCTATGTTGCTGTCGGCCAAGCTCCGTCATCGAGTCGTCGAAGTCGCAGGTTTTGTTTGGGCCATGGATGGTCCAAGTCGGTCCAAGCGAACGTATCGTCCAGTGGAAAAGCACTAGCTGGCCACAACTATATAACTATATTATACGATATATATATATACATAATATATATATATACATTTATAGTGTATATACAATTATATGCCTAAGATTGTATATGTACATATATATATATAAACAACATCAATCCAAACACACCACAGCCTTGAACATCCTTAAACTGTATCCACTGTCGCTGTTGCAGCTGCCCCAGGGTGTTTCGAACGTCCTGAGGACTACTTCGAGAGGAACTTGCGCGAGTCGAAGTATGGCTGGGTTTCTAGGCAAAGATCTTGGGTTTGTTAGGAAAAACCATGGAAAATGGTTGGGCAAACAACCCCAAAACCCATGGTGAAAACCATGGTTCAAACCATGGTTCATCATGGTTCATCGTTATTTTGACTGTTACAACAGGCCAAAAATTTTGGCTGTGCCCCATTTCTTGGACATTGGGCGATGTTGGGACTGTTTAGCCCACCCTGGCCGGCCAGTGAGCTAATCCCAAGCCATCCCAAGAGTCCTAGAATCTGAGTCACCAGCCAATCCTCCAGCTACAGGATGTTTTTTTTGTAGGTTTGACCCTATATCCACGCGTTTTTTTTGTCTGACATAGAGAGTGCTACCGTAAATCCCTTAGTTTGTCATGTGTTTCCCATTAAGACGGCTATCTTAGCCCATCTATACAAGATTTACCTATTAAAGCTGGTGATTTTCTAAAACTATGTGGGTCATTACCAGCGGATAAACATGATTTAACCGACATTTTCTTGGTTATCTATGGAGGTTTCCTGAAATGGGGGTACCCTTAAATCATCCATATTAAGAGGATTTTCCATGAAATAAACCATCCAGCTATTGGGGGTACCCCCATTTATGGAAACCTCCATATATATAATATATATATATGATATATATATATGATATATATATATATATGATATATATATATGATATATATATATATATATGATATATATATATGATATATATATATATGACATATATATATAATATAATATATAATAATATATAATAATATATATATAATATAATATATAATATAGTATAGTATAATATAATATAATATAACATAACATAACATAATATAATATAATATAATACAATATAATATAATATAATATAATATAATATAATAATATATATATATCATATATATATATATATCATATATATATATATATCATATATATATATATATTAGAAACCCCGCCTGGGGAACAACTGGAATCTTCCTAGATTCAAACACCACGCCCGCTTGCATTAGTTTCTCGCCTGAGTTGAGCAAGTTGGCTTCGATACATGCCACAAGGTGAAATGGGACCTGGAAGAGAGGCGCTGCTTTCACACTCCTCTTTCTCTCCTAGAAAAAGGTTTTGCTCAGAACTTCGTCTGAGTTATATTCTGAAAGTAAAAACTGCAGCATTGGAGCACTCTCACTGACTCAGGTATCCCATAAAGAAGCTCAAAAGCACATGCCAAGGATATAATCAATCTCGAAAGCGACGCAGCTCGGTAGTGCCAGGAAAGACAACCCCTTCGGGCTCTGACACCAGACCAGCGGCAATCAAATAGTTGCGAAGGTCCACACACTTGGCACCCTTGCTCTCACCCTGCTTGAAGACCCAGTCGCAATAGTCACGGTACTTCGGCAAAGTGCCAATCTGATAATAGGTCACATCGTCAGCCTTCACCTTGGGAAGGGTGCACACAGTCTTCCCCCACTTTTCCAGACTGTTCACCATCGGAGGCAAGGAGATCTGAGGAGCCATAGGCTTCTGGGCTGACTTGTCCCCTTTCTTGGCACAACCACCCACCTCGCTGATCAAATCAAAGGCAGAATCTTCCTCCTCCGACAAATTCTCACTGGGCTCCACGGCGGCATGCACACGCTTGCTGCCATCTGTCATAGAACCACCGGAGATGGCCGGAGGCTGAACAAACGAGGATAGGCTCTGACCGTGAGCTTCCATGCGGGCAAGGATCTTTTTGACCACTTCAATTTCATCCTGGGACACGGGCAAAGAGTATGTGGACATGGCTGGACCTAATTGATTCCACGAGAGATCACTTGGCAGGGACGGAAAACTAGAGCTCTTATCACCTTGACTTCACACTGGCATGCGAAAAACTGTACAATCACTTGACTCAAGCAGACATGTTGGTACTTATGACTATTCGGATGCAGAGGCACGATGCAAAAAGGCAAGCACGACTGATCTCTTTCCTACTGATCCCATTTGAGATAATAGGCAACCCATTGAGAAGAACAGTTTCCTACTCGCTCAGTATCGGCCAAATTAGAAAACATGGCTCAGCCTCTTCACTCTTCTCAGACGTGCAAACGGACTGACGTTGCTGTTCATCATGCTGTTGTTTACGGCTCTTTCCCAACTGCTGCCTACGGTGACGCTCCTCTTTCTTTCGATCTAAGACCAACTGTTCATCAGCTAGTTGATACTTACCATTTCTCAGCACTGAGCGCAGCAAGTCATGCGGCTCTCCTTTGTCCTTGGTCAGGCCGTCAGCGACCATGCGATCTGTCGGTACCCATCTGGGTTGCAAACGAGTTCGCTGTATGCATTGTCGAATCACAGCTATATCGATGGCTACCCTCTTGTCGTCTAAAGTGCCTCCAGATCCTAAGGTAACCAAATGGTCGTAGAGAGATCGGCAATCGCTCATTCCTATTGGCTGTCTACGGCTAAGGACCTCGTCTACTTCAGATAATAAGAAGGGACCATCCAAGGCTTCAGCTAAAATCAACATGCACCATTCTGCTATGCCTGACGCGCTGGCAAAACATTGGGCTTCCCCCCCGAGTGTGGAGGACACCACTCTGGGAAGACGGTAGGATTTCCAACCAACAAAGCTCAGAGGACAGTCATGACCTTGACTAAATTTTTGGCTGGTAAGACCTACAATCCAGCCTCCCTGAGTTCGGTGATCCACGGCGTTGGCAAAGGCTGCATCCGACCAGAAACACGCGGTGAGTTCACTAGGAGGTATGTAAGGTACCTTGATAGTCATATCACTATGTTGTCTAGCCCTTCGTACTGCTTGATTTGCTTGGAGGAGATTCTCAACTGTGGGATGGGGAAAACACTGTTGAGACATGGAGGTTTGAACACAAAGGTCGGGTCGTGATTGGCCTGACAGCCACCCCAAGGCCCCATTCACTGCCCGGAGGGCGGAAATCTCACGATCGTTGGCTGGCTTCCAGTGTTCTCGAGCGCGTTCCTTAGAGAGTTTGATGGGTTGAATATTGAGAGCATAGTCTTTCTGTTGATATTCAATCTCCATGGTGGTGGGGTCCTGAGTGTATTCTACCCCCAGAAACTCTCCATGGCCTGATCTCCATTTTCGGAAGGGAAACCTGGCCTTCAGCTCAGCAATCGCACGATCGTAAGTGCTGCCACTGCCACCCGTCAGAGTGTCATCCACGTGTGCTCCCAAAACCCCTTCCAGAGTGCCTTCCGCATTGTAACAGTAGTAAACGCAGCTGTCAAAACGAGATTGGGAAAAACCACATTTCTGTGCCACTTGATTGAACTCAACGAACCAGTTGTGAGGGGCATCGTTGGCACCGTACACATTTCCTCGAATTCTCACCAGACTTCCCGGAGCCACACCTGGTACTCCCCCTGGGGGTAGCTCAGCAAAAACAGGATTCTGCTCCAGCTGTTCGCTAACATCAGCTTCCAGAAAAGCCCCTTTTATATCCCCAAGATTCATAGTCCACTTGTGGCTGACAATCAACTGTAGGAGGACGTTGCGTCCCAGCTGAGACAGGGTCGGCGAGTGACACTTGCCAGACAGCACCTTCTTCACTAGGTCTGGGTCATGGTGCCCACGCAGACACCATCGTGACTTCATGCGAGTCTGGCCATCTTCCACCTTCTTGGTGATGACAAACCTGCTGGACATGATCCGGGTGGGTTGCCTTGTTCTGATTTCATCAGCTTGTTTGGGATTTATCACCTCAATTACCCCTTTTTCATGCAACAAGGTGGACCACTCAACAACCTTAGATTCATCGATTAGTTCTTGAACATCACTGGGATTGTTTGAGTGATGCAGCTCAGTCTGCAGCTTCTTTTTGAGGAACCCTGCTAGAAAAACCTCAACACACTCTACAGTCTTTGCCAGAGCCAACATGCAGTCACCGGAGAACTTGCCCTGCTTGGGTGCTGGCTCGGAGCTTGGCTCTCGACTGGCGGCTCGTTTCTCTCGGGACAGTTCCAAGGAGGCTTCTTGAAAGTCAGATTGCACCATTTCAGGGGGTCTATAGAGAACCTCAGGTTTCTTAGTGCTATGCCTAAATCTTATGGGACCATAATGAGGCTTCACCTGAGATGAGCTACTGCTACTGCTGTGGAACGGTTCAGCTCGGGTGGACATCTGGGGGACTACATCAGGAATAGGAACACTTGAACTCTCGGGAGAGTTGGACTCCATGATCTCTGGTACACCAGGAGCGCCAGTAGAGAGCACTGCAGGTTCCAGGGCTTCTGCCTGGGACGGCACGGTCGCAGCGGAAATGTCTACCGTATTGGAGGACGCTTCAGGACCCTGTTGGAGCTGTTCTGGCATCTCTGGAAGTTCTTGCTTGGACAAATCCACATACTGACTGGTCCTAAGATTACCATCTTCTCCTACCATGGCAGCTATTCCTAACAACTCCCTACCATCGGCTTGTGCCACTGCTCTCTCATCCAAAGTTGCATGACGTAAGTGTTCAGGAGAAACTTTGAACATGTTTCTGCGATGGTAGATTAGTAAGTTGCGACCTACTTTGCCCATGACAATTGCCGTACCATACCACCTGCCACCTACAATACGGACTCCTCTCTGGTACTTCTGAGTGCGCCAGTAGCAGACAAAATCTCCAGGCAAAAATTCTCGCTCGGCTCGCGGTCGAGCATTGAGTGCTGTACGCAGGGTCTGCTCGTCCTGGGCTTGTACCAGGGACACTCGTGCAGCTGTTCTTACAGCTTGAGACTTTGCAAAACTGGAATCATGGAGGGCCACTGTACCAGAAACTGCATCCGGGTTTTCTTGGAGAACATCAAAAGGAACACGTGGGTTACGACCAAAAACATGTTGGTAGGGGGAGAGACCCTGCTGGTTCAACATTTCATTCTTGGCATTCATAGTTTGCACTACACATTGTTCCCAGGATTCTTTGTCACCCGGTTGGCATTGATCCAGCACCTTTTCAAACACCACCTCAAACAGATGTCCGTGTTTCTCAACTTTCCCCAATTGGTTATGTGCTTCGGCTGCTATAGTAAGAACTCGGATACCGGCATTCTCCAAGCTTGACACCAAAAGTTCTGATTGATTGGTTCGTGCTGGGTCCATCAAAAGTTCAACTGGTGGTCCAGCCCACTTCATCCAGTGATTCATGAAGAGCTGACGCAAGACCTCTCCGGTTTCTTGTTGGTGAAAAGGAACCATGATCTGCATGCTTGTTGCCCAGTCAACTATATTGAGACACTTGACCTTTTGGTTGACAGCCCAACCCGGAAGAATCTTCACATCAATGCCTACCCTGTGATTGAAATCGACCACAGAGTGTGCCGACGCAGGGAGGCAAGGTGTTGGCCTCTGTCGCTGGGTACAGATCTCGCACGTGAACAGGCGAGCTGCTTCCAAAGCCTGGGAAGTGGCTCCAGCATTTCGGAGAACCCTGATCAAGTCAGCACTTTGGGGATGACCCAGATTGTTGTGTAACTTTTTGATGATTTGTTTGAGGTTCTCAGGAGACCCTTCTTCCTGGGCGCAACATTCATGCACTACTTGAATCAACTCACTGGGTGTCGCAGGATCCTGCACGGATGCAAAGGCACACAGGGAAGGTGATGGACAAACACTACTTAGCCAAGTGTGAACAAACTCTGAAGTGTAAACAGCAGCTTTGGCGCTAATGTTCTGACCATCCTTACACCTACCAGCAATGACCCTATGCTGTGCGTGTCCTGGGCAACACTTGGCGAGCTCTACCATATCATCATGGGACACAGCCAAACCCGTGGGTTTCAACACCGGGATCCCTGTGTCGGGGCACTTCAAGCCATAGGCACACATGGACGCCTTGCACCGGTGCATTTGCTTCAGGAGCTTCTTCATCGGTGCAAACTCCCAAAGTCCGGAACTCCACGGGTGTTCGATGAGAACCCTTCCTCCACGTTTGATTTGTCTTTTGGCTTCATCCATGCAAAACTGAGCTTGTTTTTCCGCAACTCTTTTGTTGTGAATCTGTTCCCACAAAGGCAACTTTGTCTGGTTGAGTCTATACCAGCCCCCCCAATGTTTGCATTCTGGACATAACACCAGGAGCTCAGGACGCTTCTTTTCCAAGACACCAGAGACCTGCTGTTGGACCTTCTTGTCAAGGAGGTCCCATCCCTGCTTGATGTCGAAGGAGAGACCTTCGGCTCCACGTTCCTGAGCGGCCAGAGCAAAACGGGGCGGAGAGAAGAGCTCTGCGACAACACACTTTGATTGCCCCTTTGTCCATGCTGCATGTCGTGACATCACACAGCGTTGTTCTCGGCGTGTAAGAGTTCTAAAATCACCTGACAATACCTCAAACCCAGAACAACATGAGCAATCATCACCATGGGGAACTAGATGTGTGTTCATGTCTACATACTCAGTCACATTCGTGGATTTCGGAACAAGGGCACTCTCAGTAAGCTTGTCATCGGAAATCACCATAGTTTCATGAGCAGGAAGGGAAGGAAAATCCATGACATCGATCATATACTGGCCCGCACTGTTGATCTTGAGAGGCTGTGACGGTCCACCCTCTAGAGAAAGAGAGCTGTCGCTGAAGTTCAGAGAGGCTCCCAAACTTTTCATGGTTCCCCTGCTGAGCAACAGAGGAGCAGGGCCTCGAATGATCGCTGCTTCAACCCGACCCGCCTTGCCATTGATCCCGATGGGGAGCTCTACCACAAATTCAGTAAGCTCCTCCTTGTTGTTGCCAAAAGCAAAAAGGTTCTCCTGGCGACGCATCACAGGCTGCGTCAGACCCTGGGCTTGGTACATACGCATCATCTGGTTGAGGGTCTCTTGACCTATCAACGTCTTGCCACAGCCAGAGTCTATGATTCCGAAACCAGGTGAAGAGACTAGGAGACTTCTTCGGGTTCTGCGTGTTCTGACTCTCCTTCTCTCTCGACTACCATTGCTACCGTAGACACTGAAGAAGGCTTGTCTGAGGATCCTGAACCCTTCCCGCCGCCTTTGGGGAGGGGGCACTCACGGGCCCAATGCCCCAACTTGTTGCAGCGACGGCACCTGGTCCTTTTCTTTACTTCACTGACATCCTCTTTGAACTGCTGCTGCACTTTGACTGCCTGGCGGAAATTGCGACTGCGCTGCAGCTTTGCGATCTCAGTGCGTCGCTCTTTCCAAGTAGCAGCAAGGATCTCGGCCGTCTCTGTCTCGTCAAAGTCACCAGGCTCGACATCCGTGTGTTGGATGCCGTGATCAGACAGAAAGGCCTCGACCTCTTCAAAGACAACAGCATCCCCCGCATCCATCTCAGGAGGGGGCTCATCATTCACCTCATCTTGGTGGGCGACGACCATCACTGGAGAGACCTTCTTGGTCTTGGAGTTGACGACATAGTCTGGAAAACACGACCTCAGGCTCGCTACTACGGTCTCGAACTTCAGGATGCCCCCTGACTTCGCGGTCACAATGGCCCTTTGATCGGCCGAGAGGCCGCTGCAGTTGAGAACCACCCAGCCTCTGGCTTCAGAGGGGAAGTCCACTGAGACCTTTCGTCGGCATTTGGAGAAACTCTCCTGGACCCGGCTGGCCCACTCAGCCATGCTCTCGCCATCTCGTGCGGCCAGCGAGAACACTTCTTTCAGGCATTCTGCTAAGAGGTCATGCTGCAACTTGTCAGGGAAACGCTCTTCCAAGATCTTCCAGATCTCTTTGTCCCCATCCTCCTTCGTCAGTTGTTCTATGGTGAGATGCTCTACGGCTTCCAGTGCTAGCCCATCCAGTAGGGTGAATACCCACGGCCCTCGTTGCTTGAGTTCCATGTCCTTCTGTGACGCCATCTTGGCTTCACACCACAAACGCCACTTCCGGAGCTCCTTGCCATCCAACGATGCCCCAGAGAAGCGCTTGTATTGGCCCGACTGGCCATCCGCTGATTTCACATCCATGGCGCTGCTTTCCTACCCTGACCTACCTAGGTCTGCGGGTGTCACTATTCAGACTCCGCTGCCAGTTAGAAACCCCGCCTGGGGAACAACTGGAATCTTCCTAGATTCAAACACCACGCCCGCTTGCATTAGTTTCTCGCCTGAGTTGAGCAAGTTGGCTTCGATACATGCCACAAGGTGAAATGGGACCTGGAAGAGAGGCGCTGCTTTCACATATATATATATATCATATATATATATATCATATATATATATAGATCCCATTCCATATCCTCACTCCCCATGGTTGGTTCAATCCCGGGCACCTAGGTGGCAACAACAAAGCATCCTTCCGTGGCGGAGGGGTTTTCCGGGTGGGGAAGATCCATTGTTCCATGGTGACTTCGGGATTATGATGTACCCTCCGGTAAACAAACAAAAAACCATTGAACATGGCCCATTTATAGATGGTTTACCTATAAAAAATGGGTGATTTTCCATAGCTATGTTAGTTTACCAGAGGGTATTATTGATGATGATGTATGATTGATTTTGATGGGTGGTTTCTGAACTATCAGAAGATGGTTGATGTATTATTGCTTTAATGTGGGCCAATGACCTAAACCTACTAAAATTGGGGATGGTATACATACCACCCACACAACGATTTGGGGCATGGTTTATGGCATTGGGTATACCACATCAGATGTTATTCATTATGATAGATATATCTACAACCACTACATTAGCCATAAATTGGGGTACCCATAAATTCGGAAGCCTCCATATTGCCCATCATCATATTAGAACTCCCTATTTTTTTCCACATCATTTGGGCTAAACACCATCGTGTGTTAAATCCCCAAAAAATAATCCATTGAATCTGAGTCAGAAGTACGATCCATGTTTAGATCCATTATTAATCCATGATTTTCCCAATAGACGTTAACGATGATTCTGGGATCATGATTATTGCATTATTGCCCAATATACTGTTATAATTCCATTGAATCAGTCAATAGAATGGTTATTAAATCCATTATTAATCCATTTAACAATCCCAATTGATCCAATATAATATAGATATATACATATATTAGATCCATTATTAATCTGGTTGGTGGTTTGGAACCATGGCATTTTATGACTTTCCATTCAGTTGGGAATGTCATCATCATCCCAACTGACGTTCACTCCATCATTTTTCAGAGGGGTCCAAACCACCAACCAGTAATCCATGATTCTCCCTAGAAATCCTGGTAGAAATCCCATGGCTGGCGAGGACTTCCTGGTGGCGAGTTACATGCAGATGCTCCCGCAGCTGGTGAAAGGACACACTCGGCCAACATGGAAAGGGATACAAAACAGGGACCGTGCAATCTTTGAGGAGTATATATATACAGTATGTGGTATATATTAAATATAATTATAGGTTTTTGTTTTAGTATTAGTTTGTAAAACTCAAAGTTAGCAATGTCTATCCATATTTGCTACAAAAGTCCATAAATGAATATAAATGATCCTCTGCACGTGTACTGATTTGTGTGCAGTATGAACCACTGTGGTATGCAGACACACATGCACAATCATGCACATCACATATCTACATTTGATTACATTTGCCTCTAAACACACGCACACACTAGTCACTAGATGTTGATTTGAGTCTCATTTTGGTACGCGACCCGTTTACCACCCCTTTCCATGCAAGGAGGACAACAACGGCAACAGCATCAGCAACAGCAACAGCAACAGCAGCAACAACAACAAGAACAGCGACAAGAACAACATCGACGATAAGAACTAACACGAACGATAACAAGAATAGTAGCAAGAGCGATACCAACAATGACAATCAACAACAATAACATAATTAAGATCAATAACAATACCAAGGATAACACGGATAACAATGATAACAATGATAACACGGACAACAACCTGTAACAACGCAACAACAGCAGAACTTGGCACAAGGAACAAAGAGCAAAGAACGAGAACAAAAACAATATCAACAAACAGCGAACAGTCACAAGAACAACAAGAACAACACTGCCACTTCTCCAACTGCCACTTCCACACCAGCAAGTGTAGTTTTCAACTACGACCATCGTCCAACTCCTGCCACTTTCATGCCACCTTTCTCGATAGTTGGTCCCTAAGAGTTGGTTCCCAATATTACTGATGATCCTTCAAAGGCAGGCTCTAGTTGGTCCCAAGTAATAGGTCCTGATATCGTTTTTCCACTCCTTTCCCCTTTTTTCATCTTTTTTCTATCCCCAAATTTGATCACATTTTACCCTCTGGTAAACTAACGAAACTATGGAAAATCACCATTTTTAATGGGTAAATCCACTATAAATGGCCATTTTCAATAGCTTTTTGTTTGTTTACCAGAGGGTCTCCCTCTTGTCCCCTGGGATTTTCCTTGGCGCAAAATCGGGGGGTTCCAGGACTCGAGGACCTGACGAAGTATCCTCAGATCGTGGCACACATCGATAAGGCACTGGAGATGCTGGAGATGCTCGAGATTCGGCTGTGTTTTGATGCGATTTCTAATGGAGAAAGCTCTGAGCTGGCTATCTGTTTTTTTCCGGAATTGGAATCTGGTTCTTCAACGTAGAATCACCATGTTGAAATCATGATTTATAGCATCTATGGGCCATCTATACCATAGCTATATTGAATAACCAGAGGGTACAGTCCTACTCAGTCGATTCTTGTGGCATGGGTTGAGGATGCGCTACGGTTCACATGACATTCCACTGCGAACCGTTCAGCGGACGTCAGTTGGATCACCTAAACATGAACTATATATTGAAATATGATGTACTAGCATATATAACTATAATATATATATATATATGATTATAATATATATATAGTTATAATATATATATATATAAATAAATACACGTTTTATGCGACTATACACAGCTGCTACGAAATGAAGTGAAACTCCACGCCCGGACAACATGCAGCCCATGTTTCCACGTTGCCCAGTCCAGTTCTGCAGGTGGTTCGATTGGAAGGCTACACCTACCTCAATGAGTGAAGTCGATTCGATCTGCAGATATGTTCACCAAAACCGGAGGGCCTCTCGTTGTTTGAAAAATGGAGAAATCACTCTAGGAACACGACATGAAACAACAATAAGAATTCAAAAAGATAGAAAAAAAGTCTATTTTGATGCAGAAAAAGCCTGCCGCTTTTTCTGGATGATTTGTGCACAGTTGCTGGTTCTTCAGCCATCTCTTGCTGCCCGAGTCTGACTACAGTCTGGCGCACCCGAAAGATCGGGAAGCCAGTGATCGATGCGGCTAGAGCGCCAGTATGATGATCGGGTTGTCAAATGTGGCATGACATGCCACACCCTTGGGAGCTTGGAACCTTCATATTTTGATGGCTTGATACATAACTGAATTTGAACACCGAGAAACCAGAGGATACCGTATGAGTTTCTGATCCGTTCCCGGAAATTGATACCGGAGGTCGGAGATGGCTTGCTGTTGGTATAGGCTTCAACGGTGGGCAGTTTTTCCACCATCTTTCCCAGGATGAGGATCCCAGATCCCGTGCAACTGCTGTTAGATGGCTAAAAACCCACCATCCATTCATCATTTTTCATGCAAAAAAAAGGGGTCACATAGGATGACCCAGCTAGCACTCAGCTGCTGCTGGTTAGTAGTAGCTACCAACTCAGATTGGTCACCCAACCTATCCTCTACAATCCGATTCCTGTTGCAAAGTGGCCGAAAACAGTCGTTTTCTCCACCGGTGCTGGCCAATTAACCAAGACGACCCGAGGCGTTCGCCATCGTTCGCCGTTCGCATGTCCGCGTCTGCCATGGAATGCCAGCAGGAAAAGGACGTCATTGTGGGGGTGCTGCAAAGCTGCAAATATGGGTAAAGTATGGTAAAGTCATTTGTTACCACCAAGACTATTTCACAACTGCCTGAAATAGTTTTCATTGGCCACCTATGAGTGTCTCTCTTTGATTTTCACTCCCTGAAACCCAGATCAGCAGGGGGTCACGACTTGCAGCCCATGTTCCGAGATGTAGCATTTTTTCCTTGTAACCAACTTCAGCAAACATCAGCAGGGTGTGTCTTAGAATTGGATACCCTATAAATTCAATAATTGTTCTATGGGGAACATAATTTTCTCAACCAGGCAGATGATTCAACCGAAAACGGTTGCAGCTTCCGATCTTCCGAATTCCAGCCTTTCAATTTCAAACGTGATCCATTATATTGGGGTATATTGGGCATGAAGTCCTTATAGTGTTTCATTCTTCCATTTGTACTTATCTAAGTTATCTTATAACATCTTTTAACCAATTTTTTGACATCCTCGTTGGGTTTCATCACAACTTTTAGGGTTACATTCCGGTGACATTTGGTGAAGATCTCCATTGGAAGTACAGCGCGTGTACTTGGGCTGGATAGTAAACTTCCTGTCTATCATTCATTAAGATCAACTGCTGGTTGGCAGCCACTTATTTTGAGCTAAACGCAACTTTCTTATCGACACACCAACATTCACTGGTTAAAGCATGTTGAGGGCACATTTTGTTGATATAGCATCCTCATTGATGTTATTTTGAATCCCAGTGATGTTGGGAAAGGTCCACATTTCAGTTGGTAAACCCCACTTTTGTTGGTAAATATCTTCATGTTTGGTTCTTGAAACCAGGTTGATCATCCTTTTTTCTTGGCAATCCTCAGATTTAATGGGTCAAATATCCAAATTTCGTCAAAACAGGTCTGGTTGGTGGTTTCAAACATGAATTTTATTTTCCATTTCCAAAAATGGGATGTCATCCGAAACCCATTGACTTTCACTCCATCATTTTTCAAGATGGTTATTGCACCAGGAACCAGAGGTTGCCCTTGTTCCACCGAAATCGGTGGCCCGAGGCTGCTCCGGCCACGGCGGCCACGGCTGCGGAGGTGGTCGGCATGGGAAAGCGTGGATGCTCAGCGGGGGCTTACTGAAGAGTTCCCCTTGAGCCAGAAAATGACTCAAAATGGTTGTTTATAAACCATTATAATCATTATACATGAAAATCTTTGGGGGTTTATAAACCATCCATTTAGAATGGTTTATAAGGGTTTATGAATGGGGGATATTCCTACTTATGGATGGTAAATATATGTTGGTTTCTAGGGGAAAATGGGGTTTACAAATGGGAAAATGAGGGATACCCCATAGTTTCAATGGTTTTTCTATGGGAAATGGTGGTATAAATCAGGGATACCCCTACTTATGGATGGTTTATAATGTTTTTTTTTTTTTTAAATCCATCCAAAAAATGGATGATTTGGAGGTAGCCCTATTTCAGGAAGCCTCCAAAATGGCCCGGTTGATCACGGTTCATTGGGTACGAACTGTTGGGACCTATACTAGCTTTACTGGGGATTATGATAAGCCATAGGGAAACGGTTTTCAACCAACTAGTATAAATGAGATGGGATAGGGGTAATGGCTCAATTGGGGTTGTCTGACAATTGAGGGGACAACCCCCAACATTTGATAATTCATCATGTTTCCATATTCTGCCTATTCGAATGGTCATTTTTTGGGCAGAGGGACATAGAAATACAAATTTTTAAGACACATCCAATTAACATAGACTCACAGGCCTGCCAAATGCGCGAATGGAAGACTGCTTTCCACTTAAGATTGGCCTTTCTCAGGGTCTATCTTGGTGCGGGATGGTATCTCATGTTTTTGTAGCCAGATAGCTTGAACTGGTTTAGTGTCATACTACCCTCTGGTAATTTAACATAGCTATTGAAAATCACTATTTTTAATGGGTAAATCCACTATTTCTATGGCCATTTTCAATAGCTTTTTGTTAGTTTACCAGAGGGTATTCCCAATGATCAATGAGTGTCCCCAGGATTTGGGGTATCATCCCAGCGGTGCATTGGGTCAGTGCTTTGTGGCGAATCGCCGCGCAAGCGGTCAGTTTGACTAAGCGAGGCTTTTTTGGAGCCTTTTTTCCTGCAAAACACGTTACAGTTTTCCTTCTGGGAATATTTGTCCAACATGAGGATTGAACCAAAACATCATGTATCATGGGATACTCAGCCAGGAATCCCTGGATGTTTGGGATTGGGATTGAAATCCTCAATACTAGAGACAAGTAGCCAAATGATTTTCCAATTTTAAACGTGGGGTTTCCGTTGCCGTATTACAGGGGAGGCCGAAACCCAAGTTGATGTCAATGCCTGGGCAAGGTGTCTTTGTTTTCCAACTGAGCAGTGTTCAAAAAACCGGTTGCTTGATGATTCTATGGGATTATACGGCCCAATATCTTGGGGCTTCTCATAATCCACTGGAAATCCTACAACCAGTATCAAGGGGACGAGGCGAAGCTAACACGACCCCCCGTCCGGCGTACAAAAATAAAATGGGGGGGCAGGAGCCCCTTTTAAAATAAAAAAATAAAAAATAAAATGAAAATAAAATGGGTCAGACCCCAGCATTTTATTTTGTGGGTGCATTTTATTTTTTGAGGTGCCTAACCCATCAAGTTAACTGACAGAGATAGCATGATAGCAAAGATGCACAGCTGGGAACGGTCTGATCATTTTGTGAAACATTCCAGAGATTTGGAATTACTTGGACATTAACTTCGAAAATGGGTTGGCCCCCCTCATTTTCTATTGCCTTCCTTGGTCAACAAAAGACACACGGGCAGCTTACAGCAGCCAATGAGATTTCTTAAGTTTATTCACGTCGCTTCGCGACGGCAACCGCCCGCACCGCATCGTTGGGCAGCCGCTCGTAACTGCCAATGATGTCGGCCATTGAGACCAAAATCATCCGAAAGTACCGATTGTCGGAAAAAAAAACGCGAAGAATTTGATAGCCATGTATAGCGGACCAACACAGTTCAAAAAATAACGAAAAACGTGAAAAAACGGCGAAATTGCTGTTATTTACAGTGTTTTTGCGCGGTGAGAAGCAGAAACCACTGCAAATACCATGGTTTTCGAGGGTCAGGTGGCCAAAAACACTGTAATTTACAGTGTTTTTTTAACCAACGTCAAAAAACACTGGTATTTACGATGTTTTCATTCACACCGTAACATAAAACAGCGTAATTTACGAGGTTTTTGGAAATTTTGAAGCTAGCCGTCAAGCATGCAGAAAACGGAAAAACACTGTAAAAACCAGTGTTTCTGCTATCACAAAACGACGAAAATCAGTCCGAAAACGGGTCCAAAAACTCAAAAATCCGCCTCCGGGCCCGGCCACCTGCGGAACTGCAAAAAAAGATGTTGCAAACCAAAAAATTGAGGTCCAAAAGTTGAAAAACACGGTTTTTTTTCACTTTTAGCTTGCCGATTTTGGACGGGCGCGTTCACGAACAGGTGTCTTCCGTACTGTTTTTTACAGTGTTTTTTGAAGGCGAGCGTCACGACCTATCAAAAACAGGAGGTTTTGGACGAAAAATGCCCCCCCCCCCCAGGTAAACCTGTAACCTTTTTACGAGTGCCATCCGGAAGATCACGCCCCAGCACCTTCGGTGCGGGCGGATTTATAGTTATTTGTATCTTTTCTGGAAACCGTCCAGATGTCAGAAGTGGAACCAATTATATATATATATTATATTGATCGAAATCCGCGCAATTTTTCCTTCCTGTTGGCACGTGAAAAGGCTAAACAAGACTAAACAAAACTAAAAAAAATCAACCAATCAAATAAGGAAACAATGTAAAGGACTAAACATGCTGGGATACGTTGGAGGTTGGGTCTTGCAATTTTGGGGGTTTTCGAGTTTTCCTTCAAAGATGGTTAAAACCAATCAAAAAAGGAAACAAGACAAAACAAGATCAACCCAAAAGAAAATGCCGGAGCCTGAGGTCCAACAGTTGCATAACGTAGGTCCAACAGTGGCCAGGTGGAGGGTGCCTGACGTCATTTTCTTTTTGTACCTGTCCATTGTATTTTGCTTGGGTTTTCCTATCTTACCTTATGCCCTCTCATTTTATTGGCATTTTGTCCTTAGGCCCCTGCATTTTATTTTATTTTTTTAGGGG